CTTTAAGTTATTATTTTTTTTTAGGTTAAGTTTTTTTTTTAAAACCCGTGAACCGCCGCCTTCAACACTCCTCGCTGCGACCTTGAATCTTCCCGACGAGCACGGCGTTTTCTGTTCTTTGACGGGGTGAGCGCCGCCGCGGTCGGTTCTAGGTGACAACATAGTTGAAAGGGAGCTGGGGCGTGTTGTTCTGACCCCGAGGTTGAGCGGGAGAGCTAAGAAGACGGGGCTGTTTAACTGCTTCACCTCGGTCGCGAAGAGACATGGCCACCGCCCGCGCCGAGGTGGATTGATTTCAGAGAGAGATGACGCCGAGGTGGATTGTTGACTCGGGCTCGATTCAAAGTAAAACCGAGGCGACTATAGGGAAATAGACGAGGTGAAGCTCGGTGGAGTTGATCTGAGTGAACCGAAGTCGATTTTGGTGATCTTGGTTCTACCCGCGATACCGAGGTTAGGCGGAGCCGAGGTGAATTAAATCGGCGAGGTTGAGCAGAGGTTGACATGTAAGTTGGTTTTCTGATTTCATCATCGGGAAGACGTCGATTCAAAACCGAGGTGTAGAGCCTTGTTTAAGCGTAGCTGAGGTTCAATCGAGGAAGGCGACGACGAGGTTTATTGAAATTGCTGAGGTGAAGAGAGTTGTCATCGAGGCAGGGCAGACCTCGTCTTCATCCGCGGTGCCGAGGTGACAGCTTACGATCTCGGCTCCGCTTGACAAAGTGCCGAAGCGGCTTGAAAACAAGGTGAATGTGACATAGATTTTTGTGGAAGAGAAGTAGTGACGCCGAGGTGAAGAGGACTGTCTCTCGGCAGAGATCTTGATTTCATCTACGACACGGTGACGCTTGTGGCCTTCACCGAAATTCTCAACCGAGGTCAAGTTGTGGTGCCTAAGCGAGGTACTCTTACAATCGAGGTGATTCGATTTTGGTGACGAAGCGAAGTTGTTATCTTGGTTGTGACTGATTCGCAAGAGGCATAACCGGGGTAAAGACTTGGTTGTTGATGAGGTGTTGAGTGTACTGGTTTAACCGAGGTGGCATGATGTCCGTTAATTCGCCTCCTTTGAGTCCATGGAGTCGCCCCTTTGAGGCCGGTCCTTCTCGTACTTCCCCTTACTTAGACGATTTCGATGATTTAGAAGACGGTCAATCGCTTCTTGGAAGAAAAGTTATTCACTCTCCTGGCTCTGACGCGGGTAGCCCAACACATCTGGTTTCTCGTGACGTCACGGCTGACGAGGTTTATGACGAGGCTGGAAATGTCAAGTCGGAGCGTGAAGACAACATGAAGACCGAGATTGATGCTCCGGTCATGCGGATTCCTAAGAAAAAGAGGAAGCCACGAGTAAGACCCGACCCACCGGGTTCCACACTCTCCACTCGACAATCCCTGCGTGACATTCATGCTCGCTTTAAGATCTCCAAGGAAGTTAAGTTTGTTCTTCCAACCCCGTCG